AAAAAAAAAAAAAAAAAAGAATTGTTAGAATATACTTAAAATGACAGTCCTAAAATGAATTAAAGTCATTTGAAGAGACACTGTTACTATTTTAGGCTACTTTAGTAGCTAAACATTGTCCATTGCATTAATTATGTCTTGAACTATTTTCTTCCTCTTTCAGATTACTCGAGTGGATGGGAAGAAATTGCTTCTTTATAGGGAGCAGCTTGTAAAGATTCTCCAAAGAACCCTGCACCTGACCTGTAAGCAGGGTTACACTCTGTCTTGTAACCTTCTACACCACCTTCTTCGCTCTACGACACTCATCTACCCTACAGAGTACTGCAGTGTGCCAGGTGGCTTCGACAAGCCTCCTTCTGAATACTTTCCTATAAAGGCAGGTGTTGTCAGTAATCAAGATTTCAAGTACATATTGGGCTATTTTTCTAAGGATTCAAAGTGTGGGAGTTTTTCTTGTGTATAAAGGTATCACTTCTTTATCTTTAAAGTAGATTATTAAGTTTATTATTGGAATTTTTAAACTTGGAAAGTGCAACATAGCCCTGGAACGGCCTAGTTTTCTTCTTTTTTGTTTGTATATGAAGTGAGTTGGTATGCTATTTGTAACCTCTATATTCCATATAATTTTATTGAGGAACTCAGTAGACTCACAGAAACTCACTATTGCTCTTAGAGTTGAGTGGCTCTTCAGGGAGACCTTTTTCTGGAGTGATAATGAAGGGGGTAAGATGTTTTCATGCCCTTTTTTGTGCATTTTTTGCTACCTTAGGTTTGGATTACTTCCACATTTTCTGGAAGACCTTTTATGTTACATGTGTATGTTCTTTTTTCAACTTCTCAACTTGCTGAACAAATGCTATTTTTTTCTAGGACTGGGGTAAACCAGGGGACTTGTGGAATCTGGGCATCCAGTGGCATGTTCCTTCTTCAGAGGAAGTGGCTTTTGCATTCTATCTGTTGGACTCTTTTCTTCAGCCTGAGCTCATCAAACTCCAGCACTGTGGTGATGGCGAACTTGAAATGTCTAGGTTAGTTTTCTTTCATAACCAGGAACTGTTACATAGTTGCAGACTAAAATCTTTGTGCTTTTCCTTTCTCTGTAGTGTACCCGAATGATTTATTTTCAGTGTGTGTTTATATCTGCCATAAATGCAATTAGAGAACTATTTAATATAGAGCAGTATAACAAATTCCTTCATGATTTTTAAGCCTTTTAAATAGAAAAACTTGGTTTTTTTTTCTAGTTTGCTTTTTGTGACTTCTACTTAGCAGTTTAGCTTGAGCATTTTTTGGGAAGTGTATGGAAATGCCTATTTTTCTAGATTCAGATTAGATGCTTTTTTAGTTTTTTTTCTGTAATTCATATTATTGACATTAACATTACTTAGTGAAATATCTGAGATGTTTTTCTTTTCCAAGAGGCTTTAACAAGGAACAATTATTTAAGATCATTAGACTTTTATAGTTTAAATCTTTGAAAGTTCCTAAAATAATATTAAGAAAGTTACTATGTGTCAAATACCAGGAAATTTTAATAAGCAAATTCAGTAGGAATGGAGAAGGAAAGAAGTACAATTGATGACTGAACTGCTTTTTGAAGTAAATGTTTAGCTAGTCCATTTTTGAAAGATGAACTATGTTGGGAGATCTTCTGTAACACTGTTTTCCCTTTTTGTTAGCGGTAGTGATCTTTGGGTGAATAGGTGATTGCATTCAGAATTGATTCACAAAGGGTAATCACTTGTTGTTACTTGTGATTATTTAGAGCTTGTTTAATTGTAAGCAGGTCTGTATTACCAGTAAATACTTATTTCATTACCTTGTATTATTAAGTGGGCCTTAAGACATTTTTTTTACCTTAATATTGTATATCCCCACTTAAGGTTCTTGTACTCCACCCTAGACTCTAGAAGGCCTCTTGTTAGAAGGGGATTTGGAGTCTTCTAAAATATGAGGATACCTTTTGTCTTTTCCAGAGATGATATTCTACAGAGTCTGACTATAGTGCACAACTGTTTAATTGGGTCAGGAAACCTCCTACCTCCACTGAAAGGAGAGCCAGTTACTAACTTGTAAGTAAAAATAACCACTTTACATATTTTGCTGTTTTGCCATTTGGCATGATTTTAAGTCTTAGTCAAATAACAAGTCACTGGTTTTGTTATTGTTGTTGTTTCTGTATCACTTGAACCGTTTTGTCATTGTTAGGCCAGAAATACCTGAGGCAGAATTTAGGTCTATAAACTTTAAGGCTTTATTCAGTTTTTCATGTGATACCAGTGTAGGATAATTTTCATTGTTAATCGGTTTAAAAATATTGATACTAAGTTCATCCTGTAGTTTCTGAGTTAAGATAAAATGCTCTTTAAAAAAAAAAAATTCCTTTTTTTGGTCAGCAATCACTGTTCATTAAGGATTTTACTGGAAAAATCTGCGTGTTTTTACATAAAAATTTGTTGAATGTTATTTTGAGCTTTTAAATTCTACTAAGTTGCTTTTCTGATTTTAAGTGCTTTTCAGACTATAACTATTGTGAATGAATGTCTTTATTTAGTCCATTGTTAGTGCAACCATTTAAGTTGAAAAAATTGAGTTTAAATGAAATCAGCAATATCTAACTCTAGCTCAGTTATTAAGTAGATAGATGCTAGTTTCAGATCTAGTTTCATTATACTGCCTTAGATCATTTTCTCTCAACATCAACATCTCCTTGCTGAGCAAGTTCATGAAAATCCCATAAAAACAAGTAAGTAACCCCTGCCCCTCAAAAAACACAAAGGGAGGAATTTGTTGATTTGCAACAAAATTCTTAAACACTTCAAGGAGTGGTTTTAAAACATGGCTTGCTTGTGTTTCACATATTTTGTATAATCATTGCTTGGAGTCCTGCTTTCTCATGATTCCCATTTAATTTCCTTTAAAAACTGTTCCCAGGCATTGAACTTTAGATTGCTAATTAGACTTAAGAGGGAGAAGTAGGGTCATCTCAGGTAAGGAAATGTGTTTTAAGTTTGTCTAGGAATTTGCTGAGTTCTTTTAAAGCACTTTTGGTTTTCATCAGTATTATATTTTGATCTGAGGGCAGTTTTACCAAAATTCATTTTTGTTAAGAGAGATTGATTTTAAACAGTATTTAAAAATGAGAGACCTATGGAAATGGTTTTGCTTTTCCTGATGATCTTAGCAGTATGTAATATAGTAAGAATTTAACTCTTATGGCATGCTAAAAACCTACTTCATATATAACAGATTTATTACATCAGTAAATTGAGTTCTTCTATAACATGTTGACTTTGAGAAATATGGTAGTTTAATCCAATAATTTATCTAAGAGCAAAAGCATGTATCTTCTGTGTATATGATTAGCAGATTTTTAGTATTGAGTTATCCTGAGGATGCACTGCTGAAGGGTCCAGTCAGGAGACTGACAGGTTTCTCTGCAGTTCATATCAGTATGCACATGTGCCATGTGCACTGTGATAGGGAATCAGAGGAAGGTCTTTATCCTTTGAACTAAGTGCACATCAGGACAGAAGTTCCATATTTTGGTTATGATAAAACCAATTAGGTTTGTATATAATGAAATGCATTTTCAATAAAGAGAAGAATACCATGTTGTTAACATTTTATGAATGCCATGGAATAGAAATAAGTAGACTGTTTGCCTATATTATTAGACATGATAAGCCTTAAAATGGATCTTGAGCATCTTTATAGGTTTTTCCCAGAAAAATTGAGAAGGAAAGATAATTAAACTGGAAAGTTTTGTGTTTCAGAATTTTCACTTTCAGAGTGAAATTTTAATACCCTAAAAGATAATGAAGTAATAAAAAATTTATATTTAGTATAAATACGAAATGTTTTCTGGTATATTTAATAATACTTAATGAAATAAAATACAGAACGAAACAATTTGTTTTAATCATTGAGTGATATACATTTTTAGGGCCCTTTATATATATATGTAATAGTTACATACATGTAGGCAGGGATAATGATTATACAAAGTAGAGTCAAAGATTAATGAGCAGCCCTTGGCCTTTGAATTGCCAGAAGAGGGGGTTTATAAAGTCTTATAAAGGCTTTTAAATAATTCTTAACAGAATCCTTCCCTTTAAAACCAATTTCTATCTGGTGTCTCCTTCATCTGAAATTTTAATTTATTTTGACAGCATAGGACTTTTTACATTTATTTTCTTTAACATTCCAACTTTTTTTGCACGTAGCAAATTAGTTGTCACTGAAGTATCATAAAGTTAGCTTTATAAATTTAAAAAATTCTTATTCTAATATAGGTCTGTAATTGTTAAGATTTCTTAAATGTAAATTGATTTGAAAAAACTAATCAGAGTGCCTGGCTAGCTCAGTCAGAGGAACATGCTGACTCTTGATCTCAGGGTCATAAGTGTGAGCCCCATGTTGGGTGTAGAAATTACTTAAATAAATAAAACTTTTAAAAAAAAAAAAGAAAAAACTAGTCAAATAATTTCAGTTGATGATGCCATTGTTTTGTGATAATAAACCACACTGCCTAGTGTGAAGGAAGAATATCTGTAGCATAATTCTTGGAGATTATAGCAGCAAGTCTCTATAAGAAACAGAGTCAAATACCAGGTAGGGGAGAAAAGGAAAGGTATAATTGTGATGAATTAGTTAGATGCCTAAGATGCCTGAGGAAATCACTCTTGTTAATAACAAACACTTTGGCTGTGGTATTGTGGGACATGGTGTATTTTCTGAAATACCAGACCAGTTTTTGGAAGCACCTACCAACCCAATTCTTTCTTTAAAATTAATCTTATATTTTTCTTATATAAAACTCAGTTAGGTAAAACGGTCCGGCTACTTAATTTTTTTCATCAGATCTTTCATTATTAAATTAGGTTTGCACGTGGACTAGTAGTATTTGTCTTCTAGAAAATTGCAATAATGAGAAACTGGGAACTTGGTTCAGTTCTGAGTTTTCCTGATCTTAGTTCCTGATAGAATACATGGCATAGTCTTAGAATCCCATTGTTCAGGTAAATGCCTGCTAGATGTGAAAACCAGTTTTCTGTGCATTGTATTAGAGACTGACAAAACATAAAATCTTAGGTGACTTGATTGTCCTAGGTATAAAGTAAATGATATACCTAATGGTATCTTCATCGTACTTTTTGGCCTTTGGCAGTGTAGGGTTACTAAATATCTTGTATTTATTATAAATTTTACTGTTTCAAAGGATGGGTAAAAGGTCCCTTGAGAGTAATGAAGGGTAAATTTCTTTAGAGCAATTTGAATTTTGGGCAGTTTTGTTAGGTACCAAGGTTGCTGAATTAATCTTCATATGGAACCTCTCTATTTTGCTGTTGGAACCTTTAGTTAATGACTTAATAGAAATATGTGTGGTATAGTTTATACTCCTAGTTCTACCTTTATAGATGTGGAAGTTGGATTATATCTTTGAGGGTCACACAGGAATGTTGGACATTTGCCTTTAATCCTCAAATCGTCATTAATTTCTCCTTTTGCAGTCCACTCTTTATAATCTTTTAGGTCTAACCAGCTATCACAGGATGCAAAAAACTAACATCTATAAAAACAGGGTTACTCAAGGTAGAGGAGTCACCATTTTTCATCTGAGATATTTCTTCTTTACTTTGTGCCCCCTTTCCTCTGATAGATCTGTTAAGTCATTCTTAGTTAAACCATTCTTAGGATCTCAGCTTTTACTAACTTTTCAGTCAAAGAAAACTTCATATTTAAGTTGAGACCATTTCATTAATATGTGAAAGGATGTGTTGTTCTGCGATGAGGGGCAGGGCTAGCTAACCTCTCTTGGCACCTCCAGGAAACTACCCAGCTCTGCTGGGGGAGCTGCACACAGGAAAGGAAACAGTTACTACTCCACGGTGAGTAACCCTGTTTTCTCCTTATTTCACCTTCTGACTGTTTTCATTGATTTTTAAAAGCTTGTGTGTCAGACGTGGAAATAGCTCTTTTGCTCAGAGTTAATTTTAAACCTAGCAACCTTTAATTCCCATGGTAGAGTAAGAGCCAGCTTTTCATTTGTGTTCATAGCTATTACTGATGCCTAGGACTGAAATGGACAACAGAACACAGAAATGGGCCAATTGTTTCTTGTGAAACACATGTAAACTTGAAAGGGAAAAAAAATCTTTGTGTATTAGTGGCTTGGTTTTTATACTTTTTATGTTTGCTTTCATGATGGGGGGGATTGTTGGGAAGAGTAGGCTGTTCTTTCACCTACAGAAAAAAATTATTGTTTGTACTTGTTTCATGACAGTTCACCTAGCCTTCGTTTGCATATCTGATAAGCATTGTATATTTTGTTTTTCTTTTATTAGTCATTTCTTCCTTTTTCACCACCCTCTCTCCCACCAGTGATTGTTTTCATAGTTCTACTCTAATCCGATCTGGAGAAGATTGCCATCTAGTGGTACAAATAACATGGCTGTTGAAAATTTCTAGGTTTTTTTTTT